CTGGCTCCGGGCTGCGAGAGCCACCCGAGAAACAGCCGGAGGTGATGCCGGGCGTCGTGTGGACTGCGGGGTGCGTGGGGCCGGCTGGGAATCGGCCCCCTGGCAGCATCGCACGGTGCTCACCCTGTGCGTGGAGGCAAGGTTACCCCAGCTGCGTGCTGTAGCTCTTCACGGAGGTAGGAGGCTGCCCGGGCAGACCCCCGTGGTGGCAGCAGTTGGACCACCAGTGAGAGGGGACCCTCCCTCTGTGGCCTTCAGGGGCACCGCGTCCCCTGCTCTGCTGCCTGCCAAGTTGGACAGGAGACATGGCGGTGGCAAGTTGGTGGGTCTTTCCCACCTCCAAACCCAGCTGACTGCATGGCTCCTGGGAGGGGGATCAGAAGAAAAGCAGTCTCTCAAAAGCTGTCGCTGTGGGATAAAGCTGGATGTTCCTCAGGAGAAGCTTTGGGCTCTGGAGCTCATGACTTATCGTACTTCACTTATCCATGCCATGTTTAAGCATTAGGTCAAACCTCAAACTTACTGTCTTCACCCTCATCTGTTCCATGCTCATTTTTTTCTTTTTCGATTATGATGGAGTGTCGGGAACTACCTCACTGTTAGGTTAAGTTCTGGGTGATGTAATTAAAATTCAGAGTAATTCACAGTTCTTGTTAACTAGGTAGCTTTGTGACGACAAGCTAAATGTCACACGCTTCCTAGTATTCAACCCTGCTCCCAGCCTGCTCTCCACAGAGAGTGACTTTTTTTGGAACAGCTTCATGGGTCCAAGGCTCTACTCCCCTGTCAGCTGGTTGTGTTTTTTTGTTTTTTAAATTCCTGACATTTCTTTTTTCAGGTCTGTTCTCAAATATCTGGTTATGGCGAGGTGTTGCTGGAGTCCTTGCTGCTGCTGTCATTTTGATTTTGTGTATTCAGTTTGGTAAGTGTGTAAATCATTTAAAAAGAAAGTATAATTAGCCTTAGAAGTTACCTGAGTTTTAGGTTGTCAGAAGTCCCTCAAAAACTCAAAAAATGTATTCAGAATTTGCCTTGTCTGAAAGTTAAATAGATGTCTCATGACATACTGTTTAAAATTGTGGTCAAGTGCTGGAGAAATGATTCCACTGGTTGCAGTGGCATTAGGGAGCGCTCAGTTTAGTCTTAGTGCACTTTTGGCATTCAAGTTTATAACGTCACTGTTGGTCAAAATCCAAGTTCAAGAAAACAAATAACAAATGGAAGATTGTTCTTTGCAACCAATCTATAGTCCTTCAAGAAATTACACTACAATAAACAAAGCTATTAATTCAGCTGCAAGGAAGCAGTACTTGCAAAAACTATATTTAAGTTGTAGAAGAGCTCTTGGAGGGTACCTTATTATCACCTTCTCAGCTACTTCTACCAACCCGCCCCTGATTGTCACTTTAAAGGTATCTCAGCAACAATAAGAGTGCAGCAGCCAGAGTATAAAATTAGTTTACAATAATTATTTCTACTGGGCAGTAGTAATAATGCTATGGTTAGACTTAGATGATTTCAGATAGTGCAGTCAGAAAGCAAGCTAAAAAGCTCCAGAAACCTTTTCCCGTTGGAAGAAATGGGTAGATTGTTTTTTGTCTCTTTGCAGTAAACTGTTCTTCGGCCAAAGGTTTTCCTGTTTGTCCTTCCCTGGAACTCTGTCCCTCAGGTTGGCTGTATTTCCAGAGGAAATGCTATTACCTCTCAGATAGTGAAGCCAACTGGAACTCCAGTCAGAGCCTCTGCTCTTTGCACAATGCTTCCCTCCTGGTGATCGAAAATCATGAGGAACTGGTAAGGGAACAAGACGGGGGTCCTGGTTTCACCCCATCTCACTTCTGGGGAGCTGCACAATGAACCAGTGTGTTCTTCCAGCCTCCTAGGCTGAACAGGTTGAAAGCTGATGGAAAGGCTGTGACAAGTCACAGCTTGCAGAAAGCTGTGTGCCTCCTCTCCCTGTGAACAGCAAGCAGCTGTTTTGGCAGTTGATGTTTTAGAAAAAGCCCGAGGCTTATCTGAGTTTAATTTGGTCTGCTCACAGCTGTAAATACTCCCATTAAAGGCAACTATCAGGGTAAACACTGTTGCATCTCATTTATCTTTAACTAGACAACTGTTCTCTTTTAGGAAGATAGGTTAATGGCAACCAAGTTGGTAGATATATTAGTCTTGACCTTTGGAGTTCGGAGATAGTTATCCTAACCACAGCTTGGAGCATCTTTTTCTGTATTATACTACGATATTAGGAAAGAGTCCACCTAGCACAAAGACCTGGGAGAATCTATTCTTCCATATCTGTTACAGACCTTGATAGAAGACCTTGATATTTTAAAACAACCTCTCTCTAGGTCAGTCAACCCCATCACAGACACCAGTATAATGGGCGTACTGGGTGCAGATGTCAATTCTGTTGCACGCACTGGGGCACTTCTTTAACTAATCTCTAAATTTCTTCCACAAATCCTTGCTAACTGGTAGTAAAACTCAATATGGTGAAGACATATCAGCAATGGAGACATGCGTTAGCTGCAAAGATGTTCATCGTTCTTTAAAGACTTTGTTGTGGAGAGACAGTAAAATGATACATCTGCAGTTCCATAGCAGTTCTTAATATTCAGTAGTATACTTGCATTCTCACAGTTGGCATTTCTGTCACTACAGTGTCTGAGTGCTACAGGGATCCTGTCTCAAAATTAATTCATTTGATTTCTGATGGAGTTGTAAATTCTCTTTCAGTTAAGTGGATTGCACAAGATCCAGGTGCTGCAGTACTCTGTAGATTTAATTTTTAATATTGTTTCTTCAGGTAGAAAGGGAATATTGTTTTGCTTTCTAGCCCTGGATCAAAGACTTCGTATTTTGATAACTGGACTGAACATGCGTAACTTCTTTTCTCATATGGGTTTATTCCTACAGAGTTTTATGGTGAAGATAACAAAGCAAGACCCATGGATTGGACTCTATAAAAGAAATGAGGAGTTCTTTTGGGTAAATGGGAAAGCATTAGACAATAAACTGTAAGTTGATGTTGAGGGTTTTTGCTGGTGATACTAGATTATAGGGGAGTAAGAAAGGATAACTAATACAGATATAGACAGTGACTTGAAAGAAATATCTGTAATGGTGTTGAAGGTGTGTCTATGGAGAGAGCATGGAATACAATAAAGATTTGTCAGAACTGTGACAGGTGAAAGTTAGGAGACAAATTTGTAATGCCAGGTTCAGAAGCAAGGTGAAACAGGAGCTCGTGGTAGCAGACAGTATAGCAAAGTGAAAGTTAAACCAAGAGGCCTCCAAGATACCAAAGCAACAGGGGGAGGAACGGAAGATTGCAGTAACACAAATTCCTCATTATAGAATATATTTTGCAGAAGTGCAAACCTGCATGCAACCTGCATGAGGTTTATAGCAAAGATGTTTGGAAGGCTTTGAAGGGATGTTTTCGTACTTCTTATAGAATGTGCCTACAAAAAAGGTGGCTGGAGGGAAAGGTGAAGCTGTGATTTTATGTTACATGAGCTGCTCCGTGGTCATGGCCTTGTGTTCTATCCCACTGGTGTCAGGTGTGGGACAGTTTGTTCCTCCCACCGATAGCTGTCCCATCTTCTCAGAGACTGCTGCTTCTCGTCCTGAGGCACCTGCTGGCAGGAGTTGGTAGAATTACCAGTGACAGTAATGAGCACTGAGATTTCACAAGAGTGAAATTAACTTAAAAAGTGGAAAATTGAAATATTCTTAAATTTGTGACATTACTAGCGGTTCGTGACTATATTCAGTTCATCCCCAAGACTTGAGGGCTTGATCTGATGATGACCTTACGCATTTAATGTGAGATGTGAACAGCACGTTGGCATTTCAAGTTGAAAATTGCAGTCCTTCCCACTCTTGCTTATCCCCTGTCTGCAATACAAATATCCAGTGATGCTTTCATTTTCAGTGATGAAGTTCATTCTTAGACTTCTGCCTCTGTGCTTGCCTCAGACTGCCCCTTCTGTCTTTAGAAGGGTGAATACCTTGATTTCTAAGCTCAGTTGCTATTAGAGTTGTGTTAACACTGGTGGAGATTAGTCCCTTGGCTTTTCCAGAGGCTGTACTAGTTTGGGTGGCCTATTCACAGATCACTGTAACACTTCGTTTGAAAACAGTTGGTGAGGGAGACCCTTACCTCTTACATAGGGACACCTACAGTGTGGAAACAGGTTTGCTTCCTGTTTTCCACCGCCCCCTTAACCATAGTGCTGTGTTTGGTTCTGAGGAAGAGGGAAATGAGAGGCATTTGTTTCACAGCTTCTGCTGAAACTTTTTAGTTCTATAGAAGGATGTGGAAGTCAAAGGTGGAGCCAGTCTTGATAGCGCTGCGTCCTTGAGAAGGACAAACCTGAATTCCAGTCTCTGCTCTAAGGGCGTATTTCACATTAAGTGACCACTAGACAAGATACGGGAGTACTGCAAGTCCTAGATTTTGTATGCTGGGGGCCAGGTCCTATTAAAAAAAGACAATCTTTGTGGTGTTCTCTTCAAAGCACAAACTATCATGCTCCTGCAATGGCTTGTCTGTGGTAAATCAGGCTTTGTACAAATAGAACCTGCGATCCCCATAGTTCCCTTTCCTCTATTGCATTATTTGACTGTGAGTGTCAAAGTAATCGTGTCTTTCATTCTCCCTTACAGGATTGAAGTAAAAGGCTCTGGAAACTGTGCCTATCTTGAGTCAAAAGGAGTCTCGGCCTCTGGATGTTATTTAACCAGGAAGTGGGTCTGTAGCTTTAGTATTAGCTGAGCACAATAAAGGTGGACAAAGCCACCACCCCGGACACTTATCCCTCTGATACGATGTCTACACAGGCTATGTCTGTACTCTGGGAATATATCTCAGCTTCTGCCTGGAGATGAATGACTTTTCTGGTAGCCAGAATTCTCCACCCATGGAGGAAGCTTCTGCTTTTTAAACATACCGTTTAAAAGGCTTGCTTCAGCATCTTGCTAAGTCATATCCTTGCCCTGTTTTTCTAGCTACTGCTCATCCTGTGGTTTCTTTTTGTTGTGTCATCATTGTTTCTTCCCCTAAACTCTTCTTTTGGAGGATCCTAAGCAGCTGCTCGCTGGTTTTGGTGTGCAGTTGGAGGCATTTGTTCAGCTTTTCGCTTGGCCGAGTTCTGCGTGCAGGGATGGTTTTTGAAGCAGGTCTGCCTGAAGATCCGCCAGTGCCTCTCAGATACAAGGTGATGCAGAAATAAGCACTGTTGTTTTAGACAGAATCATTGCAGGTTTCGCTCTCCCTGTTTGGTGGGGTGCGTCTTGTGTGACTGCACTGTGTTCAATGTTTTGCTAATGTTATTTTACATTAATCTTGTTAAATTAGCTTGACAGTATTATCATTGGGATTTAAGTAGATGCACTGCACCTGAGGTGGTTCTTCCCACAGCACTTACATTGGCAAAAAAAAAGTCAGAATAGATAGAATACTTATTTACCTGAGCATCTGCAGTAATAGTGAAAAAGTAATAGTGAAGCTGTTGTAAAGTTAGAAATAGTCCTCAGTGTGAATAGGCAAAATCACGATTAGAAGATAAGAGAATTAACAGCAAAAGATGTTGTTCTGTGCTTTCCTCGTGTCCTGTGCCTGTCAGAGCATGAGGATTCTGAGCCAGTGGTACATTTTTGGACGAACAATTGGTGTTTTCTTCTGTGCGCGTATCATTTTCAGCAGCAACAGCCAGTGCTGTTGAATTGCTATGAGCCTGAACAGAATCAGCACAGTCCTGCTGCACTCTGTCCACTCACGCCTAGCAGGTAATCTGAAGATTAGTAGTGCCATTTGACCCAGAGGAAGCAAAGCAGCTTATTTTCCTGGAAGGACTACTCCTATCGGGTTTCTAGAGAAGAAGGAATGGGAAATTCGCATGTATAGCAGGGAAAAATACTTCCCTGCTCGGAATAAAATCTGGAAAATTGGTTTTCTTGTGATCTGGGTTCTATGGAGAGGACTATAGACTCCGCGGGACTTCTTGAAGGAGCAAGTGGAGCCAGTTGTGGAGTAGCCACTAGGGTGCACTGTAGTTTCAGGGAAGGGAGGCTATTTTGTCTTGTTTTTTTAAGAATGTAAAATTGCACCATGTTTAACAGGTTATTTGGAGTTGGTTCCTTGAGGTTTTTTGTCCTATTTGTAAGTATTTTTGCCGGCACTGTGTTTTTGTGCAAATCTAATTGCTGTCTAGTTTTGTTCAGCCTGTTGTTTATGCCTTCATTATTTTCTGTGACAGTAGGACTTTACTGTAACAGGACCATGCAGTGTGGATATTGTTAACAACTTTTGACTTTAAGATGTTTATTTATAGATGGTCACTAATTTTGCTGAACTATACTTTTTTTAATTGCTTGTATTCTTTATAGGCACAGTAACAGAACTCTACAGTATGAATAGCCTAATAATCTATGTGTTAATTTATATGAAACTAGTTGGAGGGGGTATTCTATAATGTTTTTAAAATAAGTAGCAGTGAAGGATATGGTATGTGCAATAATCCTGAAAAGATACTCAATAAATATCTTTACAGAGCATCTGAATTACAGTGGTTTGTGTGTTAATAGTGTGCCATTAGAAGTATTTTTCAGCTCAGGCACCATTTTGGGGAAAAAAATCACCAGACTGAAGCAAAATAAAATTTTCAGGTTTTGAATATGAAAAGATCTTTAATCAAAATATTCAGGTTAACATGAGACAAGACATTTGACACAAAAAAGAATGTATTTCACTTTCTAACACTTCTAACACATTTTCACACTTCAAAATATGCCAGACTTTTAACAAAATCATTTCACTGAAACACTGAAGTACTTCTGTGGAAATGCTGAAATGCGCATAGTGAAACACACAGAGTACAGTTACTTTGCAGAAAAACATGGAATTTTCTGCAGTTCACTCTTGCAAAGTTTTCCAAGTATTTGCATTAGGGGCATACTAGAGGTATATTTCACAAATTTGGTAGAATTATAAGGGATAAGGAGTATTCACATACCACGTTGTCTCTTAGCCTTTCTTAATGAGCTGATTTACCTGAATGTTTCCTTTAACTACAAAATAATGTTGCTCTTATGCTTTCTTTCCATCAGTGTCACCTACGGATAGAGTCCAAAAATGGGAGATTTTGATTCTTAAAGGAGGTCTTGGAGAAACTGTGAGCACAGTAGGTTATAATGAAAACTGTTTTTTAATCTGACTCTTAAGGCAGTTAGCGTTTTCTTTAGTATTCAAAGTCTGTCATGCTAAGAAATGAAGGGTCAAGCTGCAAACTCATTTTACTTGCAGTAGAGTGTGAGGAAGTACTTCAATGGCTTTTTTTTTTTTTTAAATCAGTGGAATCACTCAAGATTTAGTGACACTGTAAAATGTAGGTAAGAGCTTCAGTAAGGCCCTGCAAAAACATGTTTAATTACATTGGTAATAGTGAGAATGCTCAAATACTAGATGTTTCATCAATATTGTTAAAACCTAAACACTACAACCGATTTGAGAGAAGCCAGCTTGGGTTTTTAAGTTTTTCTTTTTAAAATCAGCACGGCTTAAGGAACATCTGCTGTAAAAATAGAAATTCAGCAGTCATCTCCAATACATAGAGAAGGGTATGCTTTTAAGCACCTTGAAGGTACCTTTTCTCAATGGGGAATATATCTGTATCTTTATATCTCTATATCAAATATATATTATAGATATAGGTATAT